GATTTGGAATGAAAATTCTGCATCTACTCTGAGAGTCTAACCTGTGGGTTTAAATTGTACATTGCTGCTCTTTAGGCTTTTAATTTGAGCTAGTTAAAAACTGAACTCATACTAAATCTAATTTAGGCAAAATTCTGAAAAGGAGCCATCAGAAATAAAAATCATGAGCAGAATTAGCTGTGTGTGCACCTGGTGTGAAGAAATGGAAGTGTTGGGAGAAAGCTTTGTGTAATAAAACATTCTCTTTTCAGGACACTGGTCTCTGCCATGTAGAGGGGGATCCAGATTCCCTCAGCACCTGCTATGCCCACTCATGGGTGGAACAAACAACAGTACAATCTAGGTGAAGTTTAAGGCTTGACCGAAAACACTGGCATCAAGTTAAAAGGTTAGACATAGAGAGATCCTAAGTAACTGAGCCATAGGAACGATGGTGATTGCTCACAGAAGGAGGGCCCACTGTGCCCGCCTTCCCTAGTGGGTGCTGAAGGACATGTTCCTCAGCAGTAGTAAGGCCCATCCAGGGAGCTTTAGTGTACCTTCTGCAGGGCTGGGTTGTGTACCCTTCCTCCAGCCAAAGACAGGCCATGTGGTGTGGGAGTGGAGATTCCTCCAGTGCCCCCTTTGGGACAGTCAGTGAGGGTGCAGCAGAATGCCATGGGTTGCACTCCCCAGCTGTGGACTGGGTTTCACTCAGGAATAAAAGACAGATGTTGCCTGTTCCAATGCTGTAAACAAAATCAAAGCCAATTATGTAAGTAGAGCATCTTTTCCTTGTAAGGTAGCAGTCTACTACATCGATGGAGGGTAGTATTTCTAGGACTTTTTCAGAAAGTGAAGTGTCAGTTTAAGGGATAATCTGCCATCCTAGAATGAATTTTAAATGTTGGGGGAAGGTACTGGGATTTGGAGGAGGCAGTAGCATAATTTGGGTCATGTTTAATTTCACAAAGAGTTTTCCTTTACATAGTTTCATCACAAGTGAATTTTCATAACCCTATGCCCTCTTGGCTTTGAAGATGAAGATAGCAAGCTTCAGCAGAGTGAGGTGATTTGCCGTAGGTCAGGGATGGAGCCAAGACTCATACCTGGATCTTCTAACTTCAAGTTAACTACTTTTCCTTTATACAATGGGGCTTCCAAAGATTATATTTATTTGGTCAATATATTTATTGTATTTATTTGAGATCTATTACTAGACCTCAAAAGCCATATCTTTTCTGGTGTCATTTGTGTTGGGCTAATTGGAAGAGCAACAGTTAATAGAAGAGAAAACAGACACACGGTGGAGAAGATAATGTGAAGACAGAGGTGGCGATTGGAGTGATGCGGCCACAAGCCCAGCAACACCAGGTAGCTCCCAGAGACTAACAAAGGCAGGGACCAGATTTCCCCCCAGATCCCCTAGAGGAAATGCATCCCTGTGGGATTTTAGACGTCTAGCCTCCAGAACTGTGAGAAAATAAATTTCTGTTGTTTTAACCACCAAGTTTATGGTAAAGATAATATTTTTAAGAATAATTCTAAAAAATAGGATAGATAGAAAACTATGAACAAAAGATACAATAAATCTTCAGGTTCTTGAATCTACAAACTTATTCCTTGAGGGATGTGACTACATTGTATTCATTGCTTTACCTGCAGAATCTTCTACATTGCGTGTAATACTCAGTAGAATGAGTTGAGTAATCAATTAAATTTTAACAAGAGCATGTAGAACGTAATTTATTATGGCTCTGGATAATGGCATGAGTGCAATTGTTGCCCTGTGTCTTTCATGTCTTGATACATGGTACCACCATTCATCAAAGTTTAAAGGCAGACAACTGTAAAAGAAAATACCATGAAATCTAGTGGCTTAAAGCAATGACAAATATTTAGCATTTCTTACAGTTTCTGTGGGACAGAAGATGGGTTGTCCTGGCTTGGGAACTCTCAGAGGTTGCAGTTGTATGTTGTCATAAGAAGGCTTGACTGGGGCTGAAAGGTATGCTGCGAGATGGCTCACCTTCACGGCTGGCAAGGTGGGGCTGGCTGCTGGTGGGGGTCTTCATTCCTCTCCATATAGGGGCCTACACAGGGCTCCATGTGTGGTGTTTTCATGGCAAATTCACTGGTTTCCTCCAGAGTGAACAGTCCAAGAGAGCAAGTCAGAAGTGGCATTTACAGCCTCACCTTGGAAGTCACACACTATGACTCATCAGCACTCTATTCCTCCGGATCTGCTGTAGGCAGTGTGGGTGGAGGCTCCACCAAGGCAGGAGTGCCAGGAGCAAGGACCACTAGGAGCCGTCTTGGAGGCTGGCTACCATAGCCCCTCTCTTTCATAGTTCATTCCACACACATGTTCTGTCCATTCTTCTTCCAAAAAATGTCTCTGATACAATCACTTCTCTTCATTTCTCTTGCCTGTAGCCTAATCCAAGACATTATTCACACTCAGCCTTTTATCTGATCTTTCTCCTTCTGCTCTTGTCACTCTCAAATGCATTTTTCACATGGTACCATTCATTCATGTTTTTCAATTAATTCAATATATATTTATCATGTACTTCCATGCTAAGTTTGTTTTAGAATCTTAAAATAATGCAGTGAATAAACAAAGTCCTTAGAGCTTATATATAGTGGGAAAACAAATAAACATCATAGAAAATATTAGATGGTAATATGTGTAACACAGAAGATTAAAGCAGGGTAAAGTAAACAGAGGACAATAGAGAAATTAAAGACTGATGGGTGCTGTATCATACAGGACTGCCAACAGTGCTGTCTCTGATTAGTGGATGTCAGAAGAGAAACCCAAAGGACATGGCAGGGCAGGTATATGAATACTCAGGTAAGAGAAGTCTAAGCAGAAGAAAGAGCAAATGCAAAGGCCCTGATCATGTCTGAGGAACAGCAAACTGGCCAGTGTGGCTGAAGCAGAGACAGGGAGGGAAATGGCAGGCTATGGGGGTCAGAGCATGTGAGGCCTTGGAGTCTATGTTGAAGGCTTTGGCTTTACCTTGGGTTGGTGGGGGACAAGGAGAGCCAGGGGAATGTTTTGCTGACAAGATATAACTTGCCTTTTAACAAGATCATCTGGATTGCTCAGTCCTTGATCTTTTAAAATGTAAATGATATCAGGTCACTTCCATTGCTTAATACCCTTTGATGGATTCCCATTGTACTTAGAATAAAATCCAAGCTCCCTTGGCTATTATTAGTATTGTTATTATTAAAGTTGGCACCCCATTATTCTCTGTCATGGAACCCTGTTGACTTCCTTCCTAATATGTATCCAACTAGTTGTCTATTATTATTACATTTAAAAAAAAAGATTTTATTTATTTATTTTTAGAGAGGGAAGGGAAGGAGAGAGAGAGAGAGAGAGAAACATGAATGTGCAGTTGCTGGAGGTCATGGCCTGCAGCCCAGGCATGTACCCTGACTGGGAATTGAACCTGCAACACTTTGGTTCGCAGCCTGCGTATTATCATTATATTTATTTGTTTATAACTTGCCTCATCCTCTGGAAAATATACTCTGGGAATGTTGTGGTGTGTGGGTCTTTCATACCAAGTTATCCCAAGAATGCTTTGTTTTTGGAGCTCTTGTGTTTGCTCTCTATAGTACATTTTTTCCGTATCTTCCCTCATTGTCATATTTGATCAGTGACCTTCCTCCAGCAATGCTATTGTTGGTGCCAGAGTAACTGCTCTTGAGCTCAATGCCAGAGCTTGCCTTTGTCTGTGGGTTACACCAATACTTCTCAAATTTTTATGGAGAAATGAATTATCTAGAAAGAGGAAAGGGGATCTTATTAAGATACTGATTCTTGCTCTGACCAGTGTGGCATCATCCTGCAATGCAAAAGGTCACCAGTTCAATTCCTGGCCAAGGCATGTGCCTGGGTTGTGGGTTCAATCCCAGGTTGGAGTGCAGATGAAAGGCAACTGATAGATGTTTCTCTCTCACATCAATGTTTCTCTCCCTGTTTCTAAAAATAAATAAATGAAATCTTTAAAAAAGGGATACTGATTCTTATTCAGTAGGTCTAGGCTGTGCCTTGAGGTTCTGCATTTCCGCCAGGCTCATAGGTAATGCTCATGCTGCTGGTCCTTTGAGTGATGCTCACCAAGCTTGGCTGAGCATTAGATCCACCTGTGGAGTCCTAAAAACTACAAATGGCTGCATCCTGCTCCCCAGAGATCCCAATATAATTAGTCTGGGCTGCAATCTGACTATGATGAATTTTCTAGGCTTTGTTAGTGATTCTAATTTGTAGCAACATTTGAGAACCACTGGGTTGGATGACACTGGGTCCTATTTTAAAACAAAGCATACCAAGTAATGCTTTGCAGGGCTGTATTGCTTTTTTCTTTAAAAGTCTGGTTTGTAGCCATAGAAAGAGTCTGGCCACACCAGCGGATGACTTAAAGTTCTCTGCCTAGCATGACTGGGTAGCTTCTTCAACATGCCCAGCACATGTTGTCACTGGGTGGCAGATATAGAATTCCTGCTTTCAGGAGAGTGGTCATTCTGACTGCAATTAAGATGTGCCCACTGACAATGAGGCTGTATAAGTCAGGTCCCCTCCTGTGTGAGCCTGTGCTGAGCCACAGGAAGGGATGAAGCATAGACTTGCTTCATTTCTTTTTTTCTTGTAATTTCCAGCATGTTAATGTGCAGTTTTAGAGCCAGAAACAAAATAAGAACTTTTTTTGTGGTTCAAGCTAACCCTTTGGTCATTAAAAGCAGATGATTCAAACTACTGAAAATTAATGAGGCAATTCCAATTTACAGATTAATAATTGACTACTAGATGTGGGTGTCCCAAATGGTCTTGGAGACACTGGGCAGAACAGACAATGCCCAAGCTCTGTCCCCTCCTCGTCCCTGCCTGCTCAGTTCCTTTTGAAGTGATTTATTTTGTGCTAACAGAGCCCGGGGCACTTTCCTGTTGAAATGTACTTCAATCCCATGTAACAGGATTGATTTTTTTTTCCTGGCTGGTCTAGATTGGACGACTGATTATTGGACAGAATGGCATCTTGTCAACACCTGCTGTTTCCTGCATTATCAGAAAGATCAAGGCAGCTGGTGGAATCATCCTGACAGCCAGCCACTGCCCCGGAGGACCAGGGGGAGAGTTTGGAGTGAAGTTTAATGTTTCCAATGGAGGTATGTGATTCAAAATATGCCTTAATTATCATGATTTCTTCCATCTTATATTACCACAGTCCTACAATGGCCCTCTGATGGCAGACCAACAAAGTATAGAGGGAATAGCTCAGAAATATCTAGTGAGGTGCCTGTATAAATCAGGGATTTCCAGAGAAACACAACCAATAGGATATAAAAAGATTTATTTTAAGGAATCGGCTCATGTGTTTATGGAGGCTGAGAAGTCCCAAGATCTGCAGTTGGCAAGCTGGAGACTCAGGATAGTTAGTGGAATGGGTCTGACTGAGTTGAAAGGCCTGAGACGCAGCAGAGCTGATGGTGTAAATTCCCACTGAGCCTGGGTCTGACGTCAGGAAGGACCAAAGTGTCAGCTTGAAGATAACCAGATAGAGAGAGCAGGTTCTCCCTTAGTGTTTTTGTTCTGTTCAGGCCTTCTGTGGACTGGATGAAGCTCACCACTTGTCTGCTGATTCAAATCTTAATCTTATCAGGAAACACCCTCACAGACACACCTGGAATAATGTTTAATCAAACATCTGGGCTCTCTGTGGCCCAGTCAAATTCACACATGAAATGAATTATCACAGTGCCCATAGCGGCAGGACAAGGAAGGGGCATAATGAGATCTTGCATCCATTTGGTCTCTTGAGCCCCCGAACTCCTCCATACAAAGAGTTGAATAGTTGATGCTTATCTCATATGGAAAGACTCTGGATTGTAGAGTTGGAATATACCCTCAAAGTCATTTACACCATTATTGTTATTTTACAGATGAACAAATCAAAGCCCTGAGAGGCTCTTATTTGCTCAGGGTCACATGGCTGCTCAGGGTTGAGAAAAGCCCTTTTTTTTGTCTAAGCCCTAGGCTCACTCTCCTTTCCTATAGTGCTGACTCCTCACTGAAATGCTTAGAATAATTTCACTTTTCTTATATTTACAGAAATTTATAGCTTGGAGAGCCTGGTGGGGTAGGATATGTATATGGTGTGAACTAAAAAAATTTAAACGTACGAGGTCAGTCCAGAAAAAGTCCAGCCATTATTACTATAATAAGAATGGTTTGCACAACATCAATGTAACCTGGCAGCCAAGGAGAGTGGACTGGAATGTGCATGCATGAACAATGACAACTTCACTGTACTAGTCAGTGGGGGTGGTAGATACTGTTTAGTGAGCATGTGTATTGTTTGGCTGCCCCATTCAAAATGACTGAGTGAGTAGGGCAACAAATCTGCATGAAGTTTTTCATTAAGCTTGAACATTCCTCCGTGGAAACTATTCAGATGATTCAGAAAGCTTTCAGGGATGATGCAATGAGTGCAGCACAAATAACAGTGTGGCACAAACACCTCAAAGATGCCTGAGAATCTGCTGAAAGTGATCCACGTTCTGGAAGGCCCACAACAAGCAGAACACCTGAGAATACTGAATGTGTCCAGGCTCCAATCAACTAAGATCAGTGACTGACAGTGTGAGAACTAGAAGCTGATCTGGGGATTCCAAAAACTACTGTGTCTGAGATTTTAATGCAGGATCTTGGCATGAAACATGTTGTAGCAAAATTTATTCTGTGGCTTCTGCTACCAGAGCAGAAAGAGCATCATGCTGCAGTTGCTAATGACTTGATTCAAACTTCTACCAATGAACCAGATTTCCTCAAGAAGGTCACAACTGGAGATGAATCGTGGGAGAACTGTGTGAAGTCTCAAGGTGCCTACTTTGAAGGGGACTGAGGTGTTATTGTTCTGTGTACAATGTTTTTTGTATCTTGTATCATCTTTAATAAATGTCTCTATTTTTCATATTACGTGGATGGATACTTTCTGGACAGACCTTGTATGTAAGGTAGGGAGAATAATGAATGAATATATGTATCCATTACTTTGTTTTTCATTTTGCTTATCTTTTTTCCCCTAAGAATTTTAAGGTAAATTACAGCATGAAGACATTTTATACCTACATATTTCTGAATCCATCTCTTGAAAAGAAAGAAATATCATACCCAACCAAAATAACACCAATTCCCTAATATAATCTAAAACTTAATCTATAGTCAAAATTTTCCAGTTATCCCCAAAATGTCATTTATAGATATTTTGTTTAAACCAGGATTTATCCCAGAACCATGCCTTGCATTTGGTTGTTACATCTCTTAAATCTCTTTCAATCTAGAACACTGAGCCTATGTGTCTACATGGATAGGAACTAAATTTTAACCAACAAAAGTGGCACCGCTAAGAATTTTTCCTGACCCCAGTCAAACACAGCACATCCTGAGGGAACAAGCATTATCACCCCCTCCTTGTAGCCACTTTGGACATTATCCAGACAAGGAACTTTATTGATGTCAAGCATTTAAAAAAAAATGCCTTATGAAGTGCCTTGTCATTGAAGGTGTGTTTCGAGGAGCGCTGCTTTACTAAACATCACATCTAGGACCTGCAAGCTGGTCATGCAGCAGCTAATGGATACTTCAGGAAAAACTATGCAGTGTGAAGTATTTTATGCACTAACAGAGGGTGTTGAATGGGCTCAGAAAATAGCAATTTGTAGAGATATGTAATATTTAAGTTACCAAACTGAGCAATAGATTTCAAGTAAGAATTTGGAATTAATATCTGACTTCATAACTTACAAGATCATCCCACTGATCTCTATGATATCCTGTGAAACATAAAGAAAGATATTATTTAAATACCCAATTACAGGAGGTTTTGAGACCTATTTAATCAAACCTCGAATAAGAGTAGAGGACTGAATTTATCATTTAGTCTTTAACTATGTGGTTGGCCAAAAAGTCTGTTTAGTTTTTTCCATAAAAGATACAGTTTTCATTTTCACCAATAACTTTATTGATTTGGATATTTTGAGTATTTTGACTATTTCCCACTATTGGCTTCTAGTGGGTAGAGGCCAGGGGTGCTGCTAAACATTTTCCAATGAGTAAGACAGACCCACAATAAAGAATCACTTGGCCAAATTGTCAATAGTACCAAGAAACTTCACAAATCACTTCTGACACATTCAGTCAGTTACAGCACCTTCTCCATGCACTACAAAAATCTTTTTTTTGCATTTCAGTTATGTTTTTACCTTCTTGAAATAATAAAGCATAGTACACCAAAAATGTGTATTTCCTTCCATTTGCAATATTAAAATGGCTGCATGAAAATTCACCAATTTTGGATTAGCTTTTTAAAAATGCACACTGATATGACAGCTGTCAAAATATAATCTAACAAAATTGTCTTGAATGAAGTTAAAGACAACTAAGCACTACTAGAACCACTCTGTGAATAAACTAAATGAACCCTTTGGCCAACCCAATACCTAATTAAAAGTAAGAGGGAGAACTGAAAGTGTTTGCATGGCTTGGCGTTATTAATGAAACCAACTTTCCTGATGGCACAGAGAGATTCAGTTGGTTTCTTCCTACTCAAAGTAGAATAAGTTTCAGCGTGACATCCTTCATCTGCAGTTGCAGGCATTGATCTCTTCTATTGTGTGTCATGCAGACATGGCATATGGAACAAGTTAAAAGGCTAAATGTACAGAATAAGTAGGCATATCCAGGGGAATGGAACACATCTGGAGCTATGTTGCTTTTAAAATATATTTAGGGAACAGGACTATTCTGAGCATGTTTTTAAGTCAAGGGGAAGATGTTAAAGAACAAATGGAATCAATAATTAAGACACTGATTATTTTAAAAAGATTTTATTTACTTATGTTTAGAGAGAGGGGAAAGGAGGGAGAATGAGAGGGAGAGAAACATCAATATGTGGTTGCCTCTTGCGTGCCCCCTACTGTGGACCTGGCCCGCAACCCAGGCATGTGGCTTGACTGGGAATCAAACCAGCAACCCTTTGGCTCACAGGCTTGCACTTAATCCACTGAGCCACACCAGCGAGGGCTATGCTTATCTCTTTTTGGTTATTACTTTTCCTACATGACAAATGAACATTGGCCCAATCAGCCAGGCTCTTCTCTCTCCCACCTACTGGAACGGTGCTATTGCTGTCCCTCCCCCCACCCCCAGCTTCATTGGGCTGTAATTGATATACAAAACACTTGCACATAATGCATGTGCATTATGTGCAAGTATTTTGCACATGCATGTAATTTAGTGAGTTTGGACACCATTCCTTTTTCTATGTTGGACGGGCATGTACAGGGAGGCAGGGGTAGTGTTGTGCCCTGAAGCAGTCCTGTCAAGTAGCAATAAGTTGTGTGTTACATGTGTAATTTAAATATTCTAATAACCACATGAACAAAGTAAAAAGAAACAGGTGGAATGTTTAATATATTTTATTTAGCCCAATATATCCAAAATATTATTTCAACAAGTTATTATAAAATTATTAATATAATGCATTATATTTTCCTACTAACTCTTCAAAATTTGGTGTGTATTTTACAGTCATAGCACATCTCAATCTGATTAGTCAAGTTTCAAGTGCCGAATAGCTGCACGTGGCTACTGGCCATTGTGCTGGACAGTATGGCTCTAAGGATTGGAATGTAAAAGAAATTAAGAATACAAATTCAATTTGTATTCAGTAGAAAGTTAAAATATAGTCGGTGTGTGAAATTAATACACAAAGCTACCTAACATCTATTTATCCTCTGTCATTTATGTTTTAGATCTTTCAATCTACTTATTCATTTGATGCCCAAACTTGTTGCAAAAAATGCACTAAGATGTAAAAGTTAAAAAGATAAGAAAAAACTAAAGGAGGACAACTGTTGTTTTTATGTTCAATTCATTGAAAGTGTATTACAGCTTGTCAACTTGATGAGGAAATGTATTGGATATTTTTAGCTAAACACCATTTAAAAACTTGGAGTTCACTAGAGAGTGTGATTTGGGGAAATAATTTACCTTGGCAATTCACACATTCATGAGGTAGCAGACCTGGGAGGAGGAACGGTATCTCTCTCCTCTAGGTGCACTTGGGAAGCTGCAGTTTAAACCTGGAACCCCTCACTTCTGTCACAGGCACATCCTGTTTGTGTCTCATATCCTGAATAAAGCTGATTACGTAACCGGGCCTCCCTGGCAGGTGTGAGACTATTTTTAGGGAAGATGTCTCATTGCTTAGAAGTGGATTAAAGCAAACAAACAAACATGTAGGTTATGAGGCTCCACAGAACAGGTGAGGCTGACTAGATTTCCTCCGCAGTGGGTGTGTGCAGCATAAGAAATATTGAGGCTGATTGAACTGTGAACTGTTGTGTCTTTCAGAGAACAAATGAACCTTTTCCCCTGCTTGATAGGGGAGGAAGTAACATTTTTTTCTGATGGAAATTTTAAAGAAATTTATTTTTATAATACATTATTTTCAAATTTCAGGTCCTGCACCAGACGTTGTCTCAGACAAAATTTATCAGATCAGCAAAACAATTGAGGAATATGCTATATGTCCTGATCTTCGAATTGACCTTTCTCGGCTAGGAAGACAAGAATTTGACCTGGAGAACAAATTCAAACCATTTAGAGGTAATAGATTATATTCTGAAGAAGTCAGAATAACTCTGTGAATGGGGTACTGGTTTCTGCAGGGCAGTGCGTGCTCGAAGGCGATCAGGTTATCAGCCTTGGGAGTGACACTTCATAAACTGATATAATCAGAACATCATGCAGAGGGACCTGAGAACAGATAAGATATTCAGAATTAGCAACTTTCAAAAACCACCTTCCAAACTCCATCATTTTCCACACAGGGAAAATTTCATGGCTGACTCTTCAGTGTTCCAAGAATAAGCTGTGAATTGCTTTTCTGAGCAATGAAAGTAAAGATGCTCAAATACCTTATGTAATTAGAGGAGACCTGGAATGGCAGTGGGGTAAAAATTTCTCATGGAAGGTAGGCATTTCTTTTTCAAGCCAGAGCCATGCACTTCGTATTGATTCAACGCTCAATTGCTATTTATCTGCTCTCTACCAAGCACTGTGTTAGGATTTTTTACGAAAGAATAGAATAAGTACCCAATAGATTTAGACAAGTGGTTAAAAAATTAGAGAATGAGAATGGAGTTGTCAACTAAAACTTCTAAAGCACTCAGATTATAACCTTTTATTTTGTAGATTAATAGTGAACCATATAACAACATTAATATCATTTGCGTATATATCCTTTTCCCCCTCTGTTTTATCCTAGCATTCTTTCCTAAAAGTCTTATAAATAACAGCAACATATTTTCACTTTTTTGGTGCCCCTATAAGCCTAAATACAGTTTGTGCTAGGATGGTATCTATATTTTACAAATAATTTAACCTAGCTAAAAAGATGAAATACGTGGCTCAAGGCAACATGGTATTATTGTAGGGGCAGAGAAGAGCTTGAAATGGACTGTTTGGGGGTTGCAGTGTTGGACCAACTCTACTACATTTGTCTTGAAAGATTTGGAGTCACTTGCTCACTTAGCTAGTCAGCAGAAATTGATTCAAAGCTACCCAATAGTTATTGGGAGCAATGGAAGCCTGCTTTTATCAACCCAGCTGTGACTGTGTGCACGTGCACACAAACACACACACAACACACAATGATCTGGTGGCTAAACACAGTGATTGTATTAAACAAAGTGACTGAAATGTGCTTGATTGCATGATTGAAGGACTGGACAATAAGATGGCTGAGAAAACTCAGGCATTACCATCAGGAAGATTTTTTTTTGTTGATTGATTGATTGATTGTATCTTCACAATTTTATTTAGTCGTCAAGGGACCTATATCTTTGGCAAGCTCAGATTCAGGCCCATTGCTTTAGCCATATTGCTAGTCTGATGAGAATTTTTTAAAAAAATGCTTTGGATACCAGGAGGTGGGTAGAGAGATCTCCTGGCTCCTGAAAAGAATTTGCAGGTAATCGGGATAATTTATGTGTTACGTTGTCGCTGTTCTAAATGTTAAGCAGGGCTTAAGTTAACTGGAAACAAGTGAATTCTTGACATTTCACCTTAAAGGGTCAAGAGCATGTACTCTGTGAAGTGAACTTTCAAATTTCACTGAATTCTATTTGCTTTCTTGTTTTTTATATTTCTGTTTGGTATTATGTGTTATCTGCTATAAATACCAAATGTATGTAGGCAAGTTGTTCAAGAATTAAAATACCAAAATGAAATTACCAAAAACATTATCCAATATTATACAATGAGTAAAACTTTTAATATATTCAACACATGACCTTTTATTTTATAGACTAATATTTTGTTGTGGTAAAATATAAATAACAAAGTTTATCATTTTAACCATTTTTAGGTGTAGAGTTCAAATAGATTACTTTTTAATTAATTTATCTTAAGGATTAAAAGTTTATGTCAAAAGATGATTAAAAACTATCTGTGTTCCTTAAAAAGTAATTACATTATATTTGAATGGACACACATACAACGATTTAAGTGCAAGGAAAAGTATTTTTAGTGGTGTATTTGACCAGATGAAGAGAGAATTTCAAATTAAATATTGAAACCTCACCCATTAACTATTGCACCTGTATTTACTGAAAATAATTAAAGATGGATTGGTAATATTTTTAGTGCAGTTTTAAGTATTTCTGGATTCCAAAGTATTTAGTATGTATTTGAAAACTTTGAAAAAGAATACATACAAGTTTCACAATTTAACCACGAATTTAAAAACCTGGGCTCATGGCTAAATTTTAGTGTCTAAGAGTCAAGTAGGAACTTTTCTAGGAAAAGTACTTTCTGAGTATTATTATGTAATGATCACCAAGTTTGAACAATGTAATGTATTCTGGTTTTATTTATTTGTCAAGTAACTAAAAAGGACATGTTTTGGACTCGTGGTCATTGGATGGTGCCAGGCATTGGAGCACATTTTTTTAACAAGGATTTCTAAATATCTGGCCTTCACCTTCAAACTGGCACCAGACTGGGCACATGAGAGATGTCACACAAACTCAGGAGTATATTCTTCATCATCAACTCTGAACCTGGGTCTGGTTGGCACAATGGCATCTGGAAAATAGGAGTCACTGCTGAGGTCACCCCTTGATTTGTTTCACGACAGCTGAGTCATTGTTTGGCCAACCCCCTGGGACAGGCCACTGAGTATGCCAAGATGCCTTTCAGCACTGAGGTGGGGGCGGCTTTTTAGAGGGAGGTGGCGGAAAGAAGGTGTGGGTCAGGATAACAGGCACAGTTTTAACTACTTTATTCTCGTGGTTGATTTTTTACTCGCAAAGGAGAATTTACAACTTGATATTATTTATATCCATATAACCTGAGAAGTGTGTAGCATCTCACTGCATCTCAGTTTGTGGTTTTGTCTGTAAGTGGACACTTTGCCTCCCACATACTGTGTGGGGTTACAATGGGATTGTGGTCAGAGATTCGTACATTAAGGTAGTGATTCTCTGTTTCACTTTCAAGTATTCTTCATGGTCACAGTTACTGATGTTTCCCTTTGCCTTCCTGTCTTTAGTGGAGATAGTGGACTCCGTGGATATCTATCTCAATCTCCTTCGGACCATCTTTGACTTTAATGCCATCAAAAGTTTGCTGACTGGGCCTGGCCAGCTGAAGATCCGAGTCGATGCGATGCACGGGGGTAAGCTTGTGGGCTTTCAGCACTGGGTGGGTGAGAAGCATTAAGGAGCCCTTGACCCACATCGGATTTCTGGGATTATGAAGAAGGTTGAATTTGTAGATATTCACATAACATATGTATTTTCAGTTATTTGGCACGTTCTAGAAAACTTCAGGGCTCTGGTTTCTCTCTTTTGATGCAAAAGAGAAACAAAGCTCGAGCAAGTAAGTGTGCTGTCACTCTGTGTTTGCTCCCCTGTATTAGGTAGATCTGCTCCATCTCCCAGTACTGGCGGGGTGGCTTTCTGTAGCAGGTGACCTGTGGGGCCCAGTGGCAACACACGGTCTCTCTGATCACCTGAGCCAGGTGCTCCATCAGTGTCCCTTGTGTGGGTTGTGTATGCCCTCCTGTTGTGCTTAAGCCTTGATTGCTGTTGACACATCAGTGCTTGGTGCTAACCCTCAGTCTGGCTGGCGGTGAGGACTGGCCATGACCAGCTGCTGTGCTCAGGCTGAGCCCATGCAGTGCGGTTTGTCCCGGTGGGCTCTGGTACCTATGGAGACTACCACTTGTGTGTGCCACTTGTGAAGCTGATTAAGTAGTGCTCTGTTGTTAAAGCCAGCTACCGGGTGTTGTTGGCTCTGGGGCCTTATGGAGACTGCTTCAGTGCCAATGTCAGCTGCTGCCTATGACCAGTCTGGTGCTACTTGGTAGGAGCTACAAAGTGATACAAGGTTGGTAGCTACCTGTGCTACACCTAGAAGAGCATGGGAGAAGCCATACTGCTAACAGTAGCTGGCTGCCACTGGTACCATGCCTGGGCCACTCAGCAGAAAGCACAGGGCACCCTAAGGCCTGCTAACTACCCTTCAGGCTCGGCACTGGAAGAGCCTCAGGCAGTACCCGAGGTGGGTGAGGTGGGGTCCCAGGGAGTCACCAGGGTAGGTTGAGTGTTGTTCACCGGGTTAATGCAGATTCAGATTTGGCCCCAGTGCTGAGCCTGGGGCCACGCAGTAAAAAGGCACAGGGCACACTGAGGCCACCACCATCTCCCTGAGGCCTGGGGACCTTTGAGAATTTTTAAGGAAGATTGCAGTGCCAGCAAGTCTGGCTGCGTGCCTCTGAAAAGGCCTCTGGTCCTACCCTGTAAGTGGGGTGGGGCGGGGGTCCCAGGAAGTAGTTGGGGTGGGGGAGTGGTGTTCACCAGGCTAATGCAGGTTCCGACTTGGCCCTGTGGGGTGAGGGCTCAACACCGGAAAGATGGTGCCTGCCTGCTGCCTGGGTGTGAGGAGGGCTCAACACAGGGACAATGGCAACTGTCCCTCCAGTCCTTGCTCTGAAGCCATACAACTCAGTTTCTTCCTTTACATCTCTGGTGCCCTGTCCCCTTCCCTCAGCCTCCCCACCCCAGGGTGAGTGCCTACAAGCCCTGTGCACAGGCCCTTTAAGAGTACACCTGGGCTTCCTGTAACCTTTCGTTTCACTCATAGGAACGAAATCCCTGCTGATTTTCACAGCCAGATATTATATGGACACCTCCTTCTGGCTCTGGTTCTCCAAGTTGGAGAGACCAGGGTGGGGTTGGGACTCCTAGCTTCTCTGGAGCTGAGACAGCCCTCCTGATTCTCAACTGCTACCCGTGGGTGTGGAGCTGGCCCTTTTTGCATCTCCGCTCTGTTACCAGTCTCCAGTGGCTGCTTCTTCACATCCTTAGTTCTAGGACTTCTGCTCAGCCTGTCTTCAGATGGTTGTCCAGGCTGCTTGTTCTATAATTTAGTTCTCATTCTGATTTGGTCATGGGAGGAGGTGAGCACAGTGTTTACCTACTTGGCCATCTCTTTTTAGTTTAGTTTTTTTTTTTTTGAAGTATTTATCTCCTATTAATAAATACCACAAATATACCACTTCTTGTTGATTTTTCAGTTTTTGGCCATTACTGGCTTCACATTATGGAAAATGAGGTTGTAGCATTTTTTACCCTATCCACTCACTGTAGTCAAGCACATTTACCTAAGGTAAATTATATGACCACTTTGATAAGATCAGTCTCCAGTGTCTATATTACCCTAACATTGCTGAGCCATGCAAAGTATTATAATTGTATTTTCTTAACAGTACAATTTTTTTTATTGACTTGGAATTAGTAATTGTCTTGTTTACTCATTGCTTAGTCTTCGTTAAGTATAGTTATCCCTATTAACCCCCATGGTCTCCAGTGTCTAAATGTCTCACTTCACTCTTCTGGAGACCTCTGATCTGCTTCACTCTGTGCTGGTTGCTCTGTGAGCTGCTGCCTTTCTGGAATCATCTCTTACCATCATTCTAGTAATTCCCTTTACCCCTCTCGTGTTGACTGTTCTCTTTGTGGAAACTTTGTCTTGTTCTCTTGATTAATTCCTGAGTCTTGGAGGAACATCAGCCCTAGGAACTCTGTGAGAGAAGTACATGGGAGGTAAATGTTTTAAGTCAGTGCATGTCTAAAAATGCCTTTTATTCTATGCTTACTTCTAATTGACATTTGTCTGGATATAGAAATCTAGATTGGATATTATTTTCCTTCAGAAGTGTAAGGGCATTGCTCCCTTGTCTTATGGCCATCTTTATTGAACTGATTTTTAATGCATTGTATGAAATCTTTCTCTTTTTTTCTCTGGGAGCTTGTAGGGCCTTTGACTTATCTTCAGCAGTTTCTACTTTCCACAGTAATGAGTCTTCGTGTGGGACCCTTTCCCTCTTTTGACTGGGCACTTGGAGGACCCCTTTAATCTGGAATACTGTTCCCTTTCACTCTGGGAAGTTTTTCTTGAGTTACTTCTTGGATGATTTCCCCCATTGTTTTCCCTTTCCTTTCTTTCTAGACTGGCCATTGTTCAGATGCAGGTCCTACAGATGGATGCTCTCATTGTCCCTGCCTCCCTGCACCGCCCATTTTTCTTCTCACTATTTTGTAATACTTTCTGGGAGGTGTAATCAAATTTATCTCCAATCCTTCCCATCAAGTTTTTCAGTTCCACTATTATATTTTTAATCTCTCCCAATTTTCTTTTGTTTTCCAAATAATCTCTTTTTTCAAAATAGTTTCTGATTCATGTTTCCTGAATGTCATATCTCTTTTTAATGTCAGGTTTGCTGAGGTGATTTATACATATGTAGTAAAAACCCATACCTTGTGGATATACAATTGGCTGAAGTTTGATATGTATAAATAGTATATAACCAATATGACAATCAAGATATAGATGTATTTCCCTCAGTTCAAAAAATTTCCTTGTGGCCCTTTAAAATCAAACCCATCATCCTACACTTAGCCCTTGGCAATCACTCATCTGCTCTCTGCTTGCATCATTTTGCCTTACCCAGAAAGCCATATAAATGCAAGCATATAATAAGTTTTTTTCTTCAGGCTTTTTCTGTCAGCATAAGGTTTCAGAGATGCAGTCATGGCGTTGTACGTATTAGTAGTTATCCTTTATTAGTATTGAGTAGTATTGCATTGTAGACATGTACCATTTTGCTTACCCATTCACCAGTTCCTGTACTTAGGGTTATTTCTAGATTTTGGCTACTATAAACAAAGCTTCTATAAACATTGTAAACAAGTCTTTGTATGGATATGTTTTCATTTGTCTTGGATAAATACCTCAGAGTGGGAGTGCTGGCTCACATGATAAGCATACATATAGCTGTAAGAAACTGCCCTGCTGTTTCCCTAAGCGGCCCTACCATTTGCTTTACCAGGAATGTGTGAGGGCCTCAGTTTCTCTGCGTTCTCACCAACATTTGGTATTGTTCGTCTTTTCCATTTTAGCCATTCTACCATAGCTTATCGATTTGTTACATACTTTGATGTACAAAGTATGTATATTGATACATACTTTAAAAGTTTCCTTCTCTCTCAGTAGTTTCTGTGTCCTCCAGGTTGTTCCTTACTTTGTTTTAGTCTCATGTTAAATGCATTCCTCAAACGTTTGGTCATCCTCAGCTCTCTGACGTGTTTACAAGTGAGACACTGACAAGTTGTCATCTCTGAGCCCCTGTGTGGAGCTTATCTTCCACGGGCTGTAAGGTCTTCTGGCTGGGCTGTTTCATCCTTGACTAGTAGGCTGGTCCTGTTTCCAAGAAAAGGATCTTTCAGGTTCTTTCCTTAGCATTATCTAGCCAGAGGAAAGAAAGCTTCTATTTCCAAATAGTTTGAGTAATATTTCTGGATTTGAGCCTCACTGCCTTGGTTGTTCTATATGTCCATCTCTGAATCCATCACTCTGGCAGAGAAATGAAAGACACTGATTGGGCAGATCCTGGTCACTTCCCCAGCGTTGGGAGAAGTGGGCTTTAGTCATACCCAGATCACGTGAACTGAGATGGGAACAGGGTTGGCTCCTCAAAGGAGACCCACAGTGCTTCTACTAGAGGAAGGAGACATGCGGGCTAGGGAGGGAAAATCAAGAGATGCTTCACTATTTGAGGTTTGTGTTATATTAATGGGAAATAAATGGAAAGCAATCCTTTATATATATTTCAGCTAACAGAATTACATGCTGTCTGCAAACACGCTGTTATCTTTTGTCTCAGGCTCTGCTCCCTTGCCTATAATGTTCTTTTCATTTGGATGGCATCTTCTCTCCCCACCCCTGTCAAATTTATTTCCCCCCTTCAAGTCCTCATGTTGAAATGCTGCCTCCTTCTGGGAGCCTTGCCTGTGGTAATTCTTTCTCTTAAGCCATTTGGTCTGATGATTTCATAAATACACATTGAATAGCACTTGTCTTACCACTGCAGTCCCTCACCTGTAGATTTGACTCATTTACTATTGGATTAAGAGCCCAGCAATGCAGGAAGTGTGCATGTGAGTCCCTTGAATATGACCCCTCCATTTCTAACATAGGGACTTCATGTTAGGCACGCCGCAAATGTGTGCTGAACAGGAAAACCTTATTCCTTAGCATTTATTTTATAAAATGTGCTTAGTTGTATATGCTTCAGTTTTACAGTGTTTAATTATACATTTGATAGAGTTACTACAACTGCAGACAAAGAACATTGCAAGAGCCTGTTAGTGCTTTTGCATATATTTAGCTAAAGCTTTTAATACACAAAAAGCACTGGACAGTGAATCATTATAAAGTAGTTTATTTCTTTCTGGCAACATTTTAGACAAGCTTTGGAGAAAAATTTTATGTAACTGGATTATTGACCACATCTTCTATGTGCCTAACACACTAACTGGCACATAGTAGATGCTCAATGAATAGTAAATGAAGTAAAGATTATTCTGTATTGTTTATTGAGAAAGCTTGTAGAATTTATATTAATATATTAATATTAAAATAGTAAGGTATTTCAATGTTTAAACATTGAAATATATTAATATATTTATAAATACAAATTTATGGATATTTTATACATATTATAACTTTTATAAATATTTATAAAAATTATAAAATACATTTAGTATATTAAGTTATATTAAGACATATTAATATTAAATTCTATGTTAATATATAAATTCTTGTGCTATTAAATATATATAAATTAACATGTATATAAATCTAATAGCACAGAAAATTTATACATTAATATATAATATATAAAATATTTTATATAACTATAATTTATTATTTATATAAAATTAATATAAATTATTTATATATATAAATTTTATGTGCTATTAAATGGCCTTTCTTGTTCTAACCACAACAAAACTCTCTTGGGAGGTATTTGGTTCTGTAAAGACTTCACATTGCCATTTATCTTTTCTTAGTTATGGGGCCCTATGTGAGGAAAGTCCTGTGTGATGAACTGGGTGCCCCAGCCAATTCTGCAATAAACTGTGTTCCCTTGGAAGATTTTGGTGGGCAGCATCCTGACCCAAACCTGACATACGCAACAACCCTTCTGGAAGCTATGAAAGGAGGGGAATACGGATTTGGAGCTGCATTTGATGCGGATGGGGTAAGTGGGAATGTTTTTCACCTCCTAATCCTTTTGCCATACAATGAGCCAAGCACTGGAAACCAGAAAATGAATGAACACATCTGGGACCAGCATGCGTGGGGCGCATGGACACTAACTGGCACTGTGTCTGCTCTCCTGCTTAACAAGTATTGCAACTCAATAGCCATTGCTGTTCTTAGTTCCTGGTAAAAATTATGTTATGTAGAAGTTATTTCTTTTTAAAAAATATTCATGCAATAACTATTTATGGCTTGTTTTGTTGAAAGCACCATATTAAGGAGCCAGCTGTTTTAGCAGTAACCCCTGTTTTCCATTATGTTTGGGGGACAGTGTGAGTTGGGATCTGGAGGCTACTGAAGCCTGAGCTAGTCGTCCACATTTCAGCAGGTGGGACTCATTTTTAGTTGCCTCAAGATCCCAGGGCCTACAACATTTAGGGATTTAAAAGAAGGTTTCCCATGCCCTCTTTGGCCTCATTCAAGTTGTTTTAGGTTGTTTAAATATATGATGGCAGTAAAGTGGCTTGCGATGAGTATGGGAATGGGCTGCTAGCCGCAGATGCCTGTGTCTGATCATTTGCACACATTCTTCCCCACAGGACCGTTACATGATCCTAGGCCAAAATGGCTTCTTTGTGAGCCCTTCCGACTCCCTGGCCATCATCGCTGCCAACCTCTCCTGCATTCCATATTTCCGTCAGATCGGGGTCCGAGGGTTTGGAAGGAGTATGCCCACTAGCATGGCCCTGGACAGGTAAGCAAGGATGTCATTGTGGAAAGCTCCATGGTAGGCTTTGATGTTGGTGTTCGCTTTGCTGCTAGTGATGACTCATTCTTCCCTCCTCTGTTGGGAACTTGAGGAACTCGCAGACATGGACGGTGTTCTGGGCAGGAACATGAAGAGCCAGGCGGGCTGGATTTGAGTCTTGATTCTGCCACATCTGAGTTGTGGGAACTTTAAGACTTACTTGATTTCTGTGCTCAGTTTTCTTGTCTTTAAAATGAGGATTATAACACTATTATTCTTACTTGGATTGTAATGAGATAGGAGTGAGGCGATTCATGTGCAACATTCAACAGAGTGTGTGGGGCATAATAAATACTTCATAAATGTCCAGCAATAGAACTTAACCTGTAAGTGAGGTAGAAAGAACATGGGTTTTCAGGTCAGACAATATTATGTTAAATGCTGGCTTGTATCCTTATTAAGTCTGCAAAAATAGGGATGACCCATTATAGGCTTGTTGTGAGCAGAAATGAGATGTGCCCAACAGGATATTCACTTAATAGGACAAAATGTTAGGTATTTTTCCTCCTCACCTTACCCATCCCTACCATCTTTTACTTTGCCTTGTAAAAGAAAGAACTTTAGAATCTAATAAGTTCAAGCAATACATATTATCATGGAAGCAGTACACGTGCATGGTGGAGAGTTAGAAAACACAACAAGTACCCTCTCCCTGCATTACCTGTGTCAATAGATAAATGTCAGTATGCTGTTGGATCCCCTTCTACACCTATATAAGATACATATATAATTATAAATCATGTATAATACATACTATGTGTCATATATACTATAATTGCCTCTTTGTAATACCAAAAAGAGATCTGAAAGCATGTACTGCTTTATGACTTGTTTTTTCTTTTTCATCAACAATCTCCAGCTTTGTATTAGTACATTTTTATGTCATCTAAAACCAAGATTTTATTCAAATTTCTCCCAGATGGCCCCAAAATGCCTTAAATGGATTGTTTGCGCAAAGGAGTATCCCATCCAAGACCATACATTGCATCTGGTTGCTATATCCCTTAAGTCTTTAATAATTTAGCACAATCCTTTTCTCTTCTACTTAATGATAGTGATTTTTGAGGAGACCTGACCAGTTGTCCTGCAGAATCCCACCTTCTGGACCGGTGTGGCTATTTCCTCACCGATGAATGTCATCCACTCATTCGTGAAGTAAAATTTACATGCAGTGAAATGAGTAATCTTAAGGGTACAATTCAATGAGTTTTGAAAGTGTATACATCTGTGTAACACCTACCCAGATTAAGATATAGAACATTCCCATCTCCCCCAAAAGTTCCCATTTCTCCTTCTAAGCCCCTATGGGCAACCATTGTCATAATCTCGATTGCCATATTTAGGTTTTGCCTGTTCTTGAATATCACATAAATCTAATCATATACTATGTACTTGTTTGTTACATAGCATATATATATATATATATAAAATTCATCCACAGTCATTGCATATACCTATACACACACACACATTTTACTCATCCACAATCATTATATGTATTAGTAGTTCAGTCCATTTTGTTGTTCTGCAGTATCCTAATTTATGAATATATCACAATGTATTTTTTTCCAATCTCTGGTCAGTGGACATTTGGGTTGTTTCCAGTTACTAGCTATTGTGAATCATGCTGCTTATGAGCATTTTCATACAAGTCTTTTTGTGGACACGTCTTCATTTCTCCTGGGTAAATATCTAGGATTAGAATGCTGATTGTAGGATTGTTTAATTTTACCAGAAACTGCCAAACTATGTTCCCTTTTACACACTCTTATTTGAAACATATGAGAGTTCTAGTTGCTTCGTGTCATTGTTATCATTTGGCGTTGTCAGTTTTTTTTTATTTTAGCTCTCCCAATGAGTGTGAAATATCACCTCATTTTGGTTTTGATTTGTAATGTTCTAATCACTAGTGATATTGAGCTCATTTTCACATGCTTACTGCCCATTTCTGTAACTTTTTAAAATGTATTTGTTCAATTAAAACTCAGGTTGTTTGTCTTTTTGTTATTGATTTCTAGAAGTTCTTTATATATAATGGATAATAAGGCTTTTGTGAGATATATGCTTTACAAATATTTTCTCCCTGCCTGGTGCTTGCCTTTTCATATACTTGATGGTGTCTTTTGATGTGTATAGCTTTTAAATTTTAACAGTTCAATTTATTTTTCTCTGGTATGGGTAGTATATAATTTTTTGTCCTCTACATGAAATCTTTGCTTACCCTAAAGTCAGAAAAATGATTTCCCTATGTTTTCTTCTGGAATCATTGTAGTTTTAATTTTTACATTTAAATCTTGATGATTTTGAATTAATTTTTGTGTGTGGTATAAGACAGAAGTCCGGGTTCACTTTTCTTTCATATCCATTTGTTCTAACCCTATTTATTGAAAAGAATTTCCTTCCCCTTGGTGCTTTTGATAAAAATCAGTTGACCATTTATACGTGGATCTATTTGAGGATTCTCTATTGTGTCCCACTGATATATTTGTCTATCCTTATGCCAATATTACATTATCCAGATTACTGAAGTTTTTAAAAAATATTTTCTTTATTTATTTTTAGAGAGGGAAGGGAGGGAGATAGAGAGAGAGAGAAACATCAGTGTGCGGTTGCTGGGGGCTGTGGCCTGCAACCCAGGCATGTGCCCTGACTGGGAATCGAGCCTGCGATGCTTTGGTTCGCAGCCTGTGCTCAATCCACTGAGCTATGCCAGCCAGGTAGATTACTGAAGTTTTAAAGTGAATACTTAAATCAGGTGATTCCCTCAAGTTTTTTTCTTTTTTAGCCAATAAAAAAATTTATGTGCCCTACATCCTTTGCATGTCTATATACACTTAGTATCAACTTGTCAATTTTAACAAAAGCCTGTTGAGATTTTGACTGAGAGTATATTCAATCCATAGAGCAATTTGGGAAGAAATGCTTTTTAGTAGTATTGAGGTTTATAATCCAGGAGTGTGGCATATCTTTCAATTTATTTATTTTTCATTAATTTCTCATACATACATTGTAGTTTAATTTCTCATACATATGTTTTGTACTTTAATGTAGAGGTCCTACCCAATTTTTGTTAAATTTGTTCCTGGATATTTCTACCTTTTTGATGATATTGTAAATAGAATGTTTTTATAGATTTCATTTTCCAGTTGTTTTCTGCTAGTAGTTAGAAATATAAGTAATTTTTGTAAATTGATCTCTCATTCTTCTAGCCGATGGGAAGAGAATCGCACCCCTTTTGGATGTCCCCCACTTTACTTCTTTCCCTCGGGTGATATTGATATCAAGTCCATGTGATGAACCAGTTCAGTTTTAAATTCTTGTCTAAGGGCACCGAAGAGAAGGCTCTATAATTTCATGGTTTGTTTGTTTGTTTGCCTTTGCTATGTCCTTCCTTTCAAACAACAACAACAACAACAATAACAACAACAAAGATTTGGTAAAACTGTAGTGAACAGGCAAAAATGGGACCATCTTTAGAAACAGAACACAGAATTATATAAATCCTGAGCACTAGATCAGTTATTTGATATTTGGAAGTGTAGTTAATAATAACCTTTCACTTATGCAGAATCTTATGATTTAGAAAGAACTTTGATACATTTGATCTCACTTGATCTTTACAGTAATAATGTGGTAATTGGGTAGGCATTACTCTCAACGTATTAAAGATGTTGGATCCAGTATCAGAGAGGCTAAGTAACGTGCATAAGGTTGCACAGCTAATAAGAAAGAACCCAGGGTTTAGAACTAGGTCTTCTGATTTAATTTGCTATTGCATCTGCCCAGAACCTACACCTTGATCAGGATGGTCCCTGAGAAACCAGTTGAGAATATTATTCAACTTCCCTGTGGGGTAGCCAGTAACTTTTCAGACCCTGGCCAGGAGAGGCTGGTTTCATTCAGACAACAAAAACCATTTGTCCTCTTTTCTCGTGGAAATTTCCCAGTGTTTCTTGATTTCACTTTATCCCCCCTTTCCAATAAATCTGTTTCAGTCAGAAACCAGAGGCTTTGCTTAGTTTCACAAAGGACCTGTTCTGATATGTAAGCGACCATTTAAAAGGATTATTCATGCTTGCTGGTTGGGATTCAGGATTCTGTGGGGCTCTGACGCGGTGATTTGTTTTGGGAATCTGATCTGTTGTGCAGCTCCCAGGTGGATTCTCATGATGGACACTTTATAAAGGTTCTTTTTTTCTTAGATAAAATAAATGCAGCTTCAAAGTTTTATCTTGACAGTGGTTTCCCATGCAGGTTATTTTTTAACATTAATAAAATCATAGGAAATGTGCCCAGAATTGTCAGGCCCTGGAAGAATGACAACTGAATATTTGGGAAACATTCAATGTGCGTTTGCCCCAGTGGCAGGGCTTACAGAATAAGGGGGGCCTGCACACTCAAAACTGTTGAATTATTCAGACAAACTTTTATTGTTAAAGATCATCATTGTTCCCTGAGGGGAGATTTTCAGTGTCTCTTGTACTTCTATCCTTCCCAGTCACTATAACAAGGACTCCATTTACCCTGGGATAATACAGTTTCAGCCTTGAAAATGGCATTCTTTTGAGGCTTTGTCATTCTGAATGTGATTTGTGGTTGCGGATGAATCTTTGTTGCTGAAATCATTTTGGTTCAAATGATTGGAGAAGTAAAGCACATTCAAAATACATTTGTAACTCGAGGTCTGTTTCCGCCCCACATGGAAGTATCGAATAATTTTCTGTGTTATCTTTCAATAATATTTATGAAGTGCCCATCTGTGCTTGGGGCTGTGCCGAATGCTATGTAAAACAAGGCAAACACACGCAGACTTGAGCCCTCCTCATTAGAGATATTACAGCCTCAAACAGGCTGGCAGCCTTGGATATACCGCATGGGGACCAGATCCACACTGTCTGTTTTGACTACCACAGAGGCCATATAAGGTCCACCACCCATAGATACAG